ACATAATGAGCTTCTCAAATGATGGAGCCAAATTATGCCGCTTTTGTTTTTGAACTTGACATTATTGTGAGAATCATTATTCACTTTTCTTCTTTTTGTTAGAACATATTGTGGTTAAAAAGAAAGTATAAGTTGTGCTAAAGATGATTGACAAGGTTCTCATGAAAGGAAAGGGCACATGTTGTGTAGAGCAGAAACAGGAAGTGKAACAGGAGGATGTCAGTCCTGAAGTTCAGGTCAGTTGGGTCTAAAGAATGTCACAGTGGCTGGTTGCCCAGCCCTTGGCCTTCTAACAGGAGCTATTGGCCTAAATGTTTGCACATCAAGTGAACAAAGGGTTTATCTTCCATTGCAAATAAAATACAGAATTCAGAATATCAAGCTAGAACCAGACGTTACAGTAACAAATTCACTTCATTACACTACAAGTATTTTTTAAGGATTTGCAATTTTACCAAATTTTTTAACATTCACTTTTATTTCATTACATTCAAAACATAAAAAATACCCTTTTACTTCTTTGCTTTAAAATTTATCATCTTGTTAYAAATTGAAATATAACCAGAACTCATCATGAAGGGAGTTGGTTACGCACTCTAAAAAGGGAAGTGTTGAATTGACTTCATGTCAAATGGTTCCACTAAACCRAGTTGAGTAAATTTAAAGCAATTTAAATTTAAATTGCTCTATTTACTTAATTTACTCAGTGGTTTAGTGGAACCAGTTGACATAACTTGGTTAAGAAAATTCACTTCATTTCTTGGTGTGTGTAAAAGTACTTTTCTTTTCAGTAAAATCCATGTTTACCAGTCATTTTCTGTTAAGGTATTTTTTTACTTAATTATTTTTAAGTACTTTATGCATATCTGTATAGAACTGTGATAAAGTTGTGTTTTATTATTATTATGAAATATTTGCCATCATACTGCTTACGTGACCTTATATGGTGTGTTGTTGATTGGTGTGTGTGGGTGTGGACAGACTTTTGTCTACAAGCTCAAACAGCAACATCAGGTGCTCTGAGTCTGAACACACCCTGGAGGCCTTCAGTCACAGCGTAGCAGTCAAGGCCAAGCTTAAAGTTGATTTAAAGGAAGGTTTGAGTGAAAAGATGCATTAAAATAAATGCACATCTACAATTGTAAGTGGTTTGACATTCATCTTAAAGTTGCACATTGGCCACAGCTAATGATGTTTCTGATGGGCTGCAGCTCTAAAGGTGACATTCTCAGGTAGGTTTGTGTGACTTGATGTAATTTGAGCCTTTAAATCCTTTTTTTTGTGAGCTACCTTTTTAATTGCTTTCCTCAAACAAGATGGAAGGTATCAAGTTCACGCTGCTGTCCACTCAGGCTGTTCATTTGCTAGCAGAATAATACGAGCATGGAAGGGAGCACAATGCGGTTGTTTTTACTCCCAGTGCCCGCTGTGTGTTGTAACGCTACGCTGTGTGAGTGTTTGGAGTTTATGAGAGGAGTTAATGTACAAGCGTTATACAGAGATCCTTGCTTCATATAATTACAACTTATTCCAAAAAGATTAAATCACCTCAGTGTGTGCGGGTGTTTGTTTTTTCTTTCTTTTTCATGTCATGAACAGAGCAATAACTCAGCAGGGTTGTAGTTGAACCCTGAGGGTTCATTTAAGGTTGTTGTTAATGATTTGACAGCAGATCTACTTAAAGGGACCTTTGCTTCCACCAGAGTTTGACCTTTATCATTGTGAAGTCTTGTCACTCACCAGTTCTTCACATTCAGATTAAACATTTATTACTTYGGCCATAAAAACATTTCACTTTCATTTTCTAGTGTTGTTGGAGATGTAATCATTTTATTATTGTTTCAGTGTTAGTGTTTTTATACCTGTTGCTTCAACTTGTGTTGATGTGTTTGCGTACTTAATGAAACTTAACGGTTTGCTTGCATACATGCGAGATAAAAATGTTATCTCCACATGTCTTATTTGTGTCTTTCCTCTGTGTTTGTGTGTCAACACGTATGCTGACACCCTGCTACAGTGACTTGCTGCCCYGTTTTCCTAAAATAACCTCGAAAACACGGGAGGCCAAGTCTGGGGCTCCTTCAAGCAGAGCTGGTGAATTTGAATGCACTGYGAGTCACATTTTGGCTCCAGTGTTTTGAATTTCTTACTCTGTCCAACCAGCATTTTATTAATTTACTCAATTCAGATAAAGTKTCAGGTGTTTGTTCTGGAATTAGTCAAATCTAGCGTTTTACGAGAAGGACAGAAGGATCTCRTGTTGAAAGTAGATTACCTGACACCACAAGAGAAAAGCTTTATACCCCCTCTTCTTCTTACAACCAATTATTGCACCAGGTATGCACATGTTTCTCTGTTAGTCGATCACTTATTTCTAAATTCATGGTGCAAATATCTGCAGTGTGTTGAGCTGTTTGTGTTCTGCTATGTAGACATTCTAACAGCCCTAAATTAATCTTGACATTTAATCACCAGACTGCCTGAAATAGGCTTTGTGTTCAACGACCAGTTTGAGTCCTGGAAAGTAATAACATATATTGATTAACTCTTCTAAAATAAGAGTTTTTCCTCTGAATGGATCAATACCTGTTCTGAAGCAAAAAAATAAATAAACAAATAAACAGAAAATCAWCTTTTTCTATTTTAACCCTTGGRATAATCTGACTGATTTATCCTCTTGTAAATAAAAATAAYTAAAACCTCATATTTTCATTTGTATTTGCATCTAAATGACATGTTAGAAAAAATATGTGGCAGCTGTATTTTTTTCCTTTTCTCTACCCTTTAACATGAACCTAATTGGATAACCAGAAAAACAATTTTTATGAGTTTTGTTTAAATAATCATGTTTGCAGAAAGTTGATGGATGCAACTTTTGTGAAAATTATTTACAAAGGAAACTGAAAACAAACTGTTTTGAAAGGACGTTTACTGAAAAAAAATCCCCAATAAAAACGAGCAACATTATTCGGGCGAATGGTTAATTAAGTTCCCTTTAACATCTGCAAAATCTTTGTAATTTGCAATATAATAAAGGCTTTTTTTCTACTTAATAACTTTGCTATAAATGTTGTGGGATGTAGCTTTAAATAAACAATAAATAACGCAGGTATTGACATATTGGCTGCTGTYGTTTATGTCAGAGTTTAAAACTATAATCTTATAGAAGATGAAGTTGGTTTGGACAGACCTTTAGARAAAAAAAGTTATGAGTGAGCTTGTGATCCTAGATTATATGTTGTGAATGACTCACAGCTACTACCAGTTAAATTTTAGCTTATCATTTCCAAATTGACAGGGTGTTATAGTAGGGTTGGGTAATATTGGCAAAAAAAATCACAATTAATTGTGCTATTTAGCCAATAAGTATTAAAGCTGCACAATTTATCACAAATGTATTGCCTGTGCAATAGACAAACAACTGCATAAACTGCAATAAATGGTTGGCACAAACATTTGCATTTATACATTTTGTCAGCATCAGCCTGATAAACAAAATGGACCAAATCAAATCCTGTTGACCATCTGTAATGAGAGAATTTGCAGTTGAATTTAGGTCTGTTAACTTTTATTTTAATTTCAGGTGATTTGTATTATTTATTAAGCATCGGGAAATGTTAAATGGAGCAATGTTTGAAAAGGAAGAAGCGTGTACAGAAAATGGATGGATGGATGGATGGATGTTTTGAAGTCATGAAGAAACTGTATTGTGTGCAGTTTGTTGTTTCACTGCGATTACAGCAGCTGTATCTAGTTGGACGTTTTTTAAAATAAAACTCATGTTGGAATGGAAATTATGTATGTATTGTTTTTTTGCTCTGAACTCAGAACAGAAAGACATCAACACYAAATTCTTAAGTATYTGTTCATTTAGYAGYAGTAGTAGTAGCATCATCGCAATATTAAGCACTGTTATAGCATATTGCAGGTTTTCCTGATATTGTGCAGTCATGAGTATGGTGATTAATAAATGACAGTTGTGCTTGGATGTAGTCAACACTGTGGCCTTGGTAAGCATTGTCTGGCTTTTCTCATTCTCCAGTTTATGTTGCTGTTTTAGGCAAAGCTTTTAGAAATCAAGCAACCAAGAAATCAATTTGGATAATTCAAGCTTGAATCAAATTTCCTGATACTTAAACAAACCTAAGTTAATCTTCAAATACCAGGTTTTTACAGTTCCCTGCTATGATTTATTTATTTATTTATTTATTTTACCAAACTGGGACAAGACCATTGAAAGGAAAAAAAGTGAAGTGCTGTGAAAATTCATCATGTTTAAAGTCTACTTCATGTCAGATTGACATTAAAGCCCCTCCTCTTAATGAGACCAATCATTCTGTAGCGCTGCAGTTTGGGTCCAGGCTTTGCTCTGTATGCTACATTGCACGTGTTACATAATGTGGGGTCATGCAGCTGTAGGTGAGCCGCTGTCACGACTCAGCCGGGGAGTGGGTCTGTGCTCGGTGGGGGGTTGGGGGTACACTGGATGCACCAAATGCATTTCGTGGCTTTCCGTGATGGCACGCCTAACACGGTTCTGCATGCAGATATGCTTTGCACAACGTGTTGGTCAGTGTCTGATAGCTCCACAGAGACAGCAGGGAGAGGGATGTCTGTAGAACGCTGTGTCACCAGAGATCTCCCAGCAGGTTTACTCTCTTCAGCCTACAGCATGTTAGAGATCTGGTACCTTTCACCTACTAAATAAGGCGTTTCTCACTTCTTTGTGTTTGCGMTCAGGTTGTGTATCGGTTTGTGCAGCATAGCCTGTCTCTGTCAGTGCAGTAAACAGCCGTCAGATTCAGATGGCGCGTGTGTGTGTCTTCGACGTCGTCCGCCTGTTGGCCTCACTGCCACAACGCTGAGGGAGAAACGTATTTATGTAAGAAGCTAGTGATGGGTGAACGAGGAGGGGTATGGAGGGGGGAGGAGTAAGGGATGAAAGAGACGAGGCGAGAAATGTGAGCATAAAGCGAGAGGCTGAGCCGCATGCGGAGGGTGGAGCCTAGCATCAGGCACTGTCTTCCTTTCTCTCCTCAGTCCCTCTCTGTGCTCACTACTTTTGAGGAAGAACATCTGCAGTGATTTCAGCTCGGTTTGAACTCAGCTCATCGTTTTGGACTGCTGCTCTTCTTTGTACCTTTTTATGGACCGTCCCCCACTGAGTCGTGCAACAGGGACCGTCTTCAGGCAYCGCCGTGCTCCCTCTCTGAAAAGGGGGGAAGGTGTGGGGTCCTGAAGCCGGCGTGTTGTCCCGTAGCGCATCGTGAGAACAGGGAAGCGTGCAGGAAGTGGCCTGGTGGAGCAGGGTGGCAGACAGGTGGGGTTTGGAGCAGAGGGGGTCGAGGACGCTGGGAGAAGGATGGTTATGCCGGCTCCTCGCGCTCTCTGGTCGTGCTGCTGCTCTGTARGCTGCGTGACATCCGGACACAGTCCTGCCTCTCCTCGACATGAGCCTCACAGAAAGGGTGTCCTGCTCCATGCTCAACTGCTTTGTAAGTCCACAGCTTTCCTGTTTTGGTCTTTAATTATTTTGGTCTGTTGTGATGGGTGTGAATTCCAGCTCTGTCCTCACCTCACCTCACCTTCCTTCCAGTCAGTGGGGGAGGTGGAGGATGCCGGTCAGCACATGAGCGCTGCAGTTATTTAGTAGCAACACTGACTTCATGGCAGCRTTGAAAGCATCTCATTGAAAGTGAGGTGAATAGCTAGCTAATTGCACTCCATAGTTAGAGAAGTCTTTGCAAAGGAGGTCAAGTTAAATGTTTGTATCTAGACGGAGGACACTGTGTGCCGGATGTTGCATTCTCAGACTGATGAATTGTATTAACTGCAGTGGAGAATGGGAATTAAAAATGCTGAACAGGTGTTTGTCTTTGGCTGAAGGTTGAGACAATGAAAATTTAGGCCCTTAAGAATTAGACAGGACCGTCTCGGCCTCATTCATCTGAGCCCACTTCATGTTTATATTACTGACTTTTCAGCTGTGCTCCCACTTAATCATCTAACTTTCAGCGTTTCCTTAATGTAAGCTATAAACGTCTCCACATTGACCTAACAAGTTTCTTGTACATTTGAAATGAAAATATAATCTTGGACTACCAAACATACATTAAATGATGACATAACAAACCTCTTGTGAGCAAAACTCACAGTAAGAAGCTGGTATGTCCGAATAAACAGGAATCTGCTGGATGTCTTTTTTAAAACTTTGTTTTCAATCTTCTGACTCCAGTCAGGTTCACAGGACAGCTCACAGGCCTCAGTAAGACCTTGAGCTAAAWCAAAACAAAACACAGGAGCCCTGCTCTAAAGCAGAGACTCTGCAACACACTGACAACTTCTTTTTACTATAATAATGARTTGAGCTTATAATGTATCTTTCTTCCTGGTTACACCCCAGGAGTTGTTACCTTTTACGTCCGACATAGAACGTAACTCATTTTTGTTTAGGCTAAACGACAGAACACATAAGACACACCAACTCTTTATCAGCTTTAACCTTACAGGCTGAAATGATCATAAGTATAAAACACAATACTGCATCTAACATTCAGTTAATCAGTTACAACATTTCCTTTAGGACTACAGAAGCATGGATGTGAAACTCAGATCTTTACAGCTTATAGTGCAACCATAATCTACACATTTGTTGGCATCATTTTTATTACTAAATGCTTAAAACAGTTGATGCATTCTGATTTTTAACATGACCTTTGTCTCCAGATGTTAGCAAGCTAACATCTGCTAACTAGCACTTAGAAAGYACAGCTGAGCAGGAGTGATTTTCTAAAAATAATATTCAACTTAGTGACCCTGCCACCTTCGAACTCACCTCATTACAGTTTGTGTTGTGTGTCTGTGTGTCATTTCTTTGCCATGAYATAGGGACATCTTTGGTCACATTTTTATTGCCTAACAGGCGTCGGCTCCAACTAGTTACCAAGAGCATCAACAGTTGTTGGCAAATCAAAAGGCGAGACTGATTTAATAGAGCAATAAAACAAAATCAAGTGCTGATTAAATTTAATAATCAACTCAACCCAATCATTTTAATTATATCATACCTGGTAACAAAACAGTCCTTTATCAATAATTTCAGGTCAGYATAACTTCTTTTGTTTTYAACACCATYAAATCWTTTTGYAGTGTCTTGAATCAGTCTGTCYAACCGCCTCTATCCAAGCYGGTGCCATTTAATGTGTCTTCCTGTGACTTCATAAAATAACTACAGTCACCCGCATGCTGCTTATGAAGTTTACAGAAGTTTACAAAGTTTACATAGTGGAAAAAACAAAAYAACTAAAAATCTGAATACTATCAGAGCACATTTCTTGCTATTAAGCATTGGGGGCGGATCAACCATGGTTTGTGTTTGTTTTCTCACTTGGATAAGAGAACATCAACCTCAACRTGATTGTAAACCTGAGGTTAAGATGGCCTGAAACCTCAAACAATAATTAGGAACAAGTGCCAAATTATAAGAATGTGATGGATCTTTTTGTAGAAATTAGGAGAAAATTGGCTCATTTTTTTAAAAGGAATAGAAATTTTTATCAGTTTGCTACAATGCTACTTGACCTAATTGATTTGATATTTTAGCACTTTTCCTTCTCACTTTTTCTCATTGCTGCCGTCTCCCTCCTCTGCCGTCACTGTAAACAGTCATGGCCCAGCGTTGCACAATTTATGGTCTCAAACGTCTGCGGTGATGCTGAGTTGGCACTTCTTGCTCTGCGTCAGTGTGTGTATAATTTAGTATCCACGTCCTCTTGTTGCCTCAGTGGATCACAGMCCTGTCAATCTTCTCCAGCCAACGGGGGAATGGAGTTGCTGTGTTTTCATCATGCTTTTATTGTTTTTTTTTCTTTTTGGTGCGCGGAGGCCGGGGGAACAAAGAGCAGAAATGTGCTCTTACTGGTCCACGTTATTATCCCTGTGCATTGTTTTGACTACACTAAGTGGAGCTATAAAAAGTATAATTAAATTGGTTACGATTTTTCCACGACTCAGATCGTATTCTCGGTAGMTAAATAAATTAAAAGTGTAAGTGAAGCTTAAGGCTTTTAGAGGATTTGCTTTAGGCTTTATATTTTTCTTATATTGTTTTGGTAACTTTTGGTACCTGATGACATTACAGAACCAGCTGCAGTGACGCAACACTGAGAAAACCATCCACACACATCGAGATGTAGCATTAAAACAGTGTAACAGGTTTACCATCCAATCAAAACACCCATTTTAATCCTATGCTAAACTACTTTAAGTGGTTTCTAGTTATCTCCTGGCTTGTCTTCTATTTTTGAGATCATAATAAATCATTTTATTGCTGTTTGATGATTTAATATTTAAAAAAGGAACAGATTTTACTTTCTAAAAAGACATTTGTTTCCATTTTTCTCTGGGGGTGGTGCACAGCCCAGGTCCAACTTTAAAATGGGATTGATTGTTCAGAACATGGTGGGCAATGAAATATTCATCCGTCCAGAGGAAAAGAGAGAGTGCATCATTACATTTTCACATCTTTTCATCTTGACCTTTGCTTTGATTTTACTCCCAAATCTTATCAAGAACACCTTGTTTGTTGAGGTTTGATTTACTTTTGTGTTTGGAGAGTGGGGTGGGGTGTTTTATGTATGTTTTAATTGCAAAATGTTTTATTTTATATTTTTATTTTTTGAAAAAAAATCTCTTAATTTTATTTTACTGTTGAATATTGTTTTGTTTTTACTGTTTGATGGGACTACAGGTGTAAATTAGCCTTAGGCCAAATCT